TATGTTTTGTGAGATTCTGTACAAGTAATCCATGATTCATACTTACAACTACTGAACACACCCATTATATTAAATCTTTAAGTCTTATCATGTTTAAAATGCAAACTAACAAATTATGGCTGGCTCTTCAATAATGTCAGTTTAGAATCTTACTATGAATTAGCTAAATGCACTCTGTAAGATAAAAGTCACGATAATCACACTGACAATCTCTTATGATAAGTTACTTTAGGCAAAGCTAAATATATGTTTTTATTTATTTATTTTTTTGAGACAGAGTCTCACTCTGTTGCCCTGAAAATAGACTTTTCAAAGGACGTCTATAAATTGAGGTTCTGCATGTGAACCTATGCACGAACTATCTCACCAATGTCAAGAACAGATTTATGTAAGAATGCAGGAAAAAAATGAAGAAAGGAAAGACTTATTTTTAGAATTTCTGCAAAAGAAGACAGATGTTTTCAAAGATAAGAATTAGCTTATACAGAAATTTCTGACTTGGAAATTCAAGAAGAAATGAGGTAGAAAGCTATGCTGAAAGCTTGGGTAGATTTACACCTGCTGTCTCTTCCCTACAAAGGTGATATAATAGACTCCTACATGGTGCCACCAAAAAGAAGAGAATTGTGTAGTCTGAGTTTCCTGTCACTATCATCCCAATCAACAGCCCTTCTCTAAGAATTCAAGAAGATTCAGAAATTCAAAGGCCAAGTCCTCACTTTCTTCTCTTGACCACATAAGTAATACAGAAGTGAGAGTCTAACCCTATAAAATAAAAATTCAGAATATGTTAGGTCTAATCCATCATTTCTCAAATAGCATTGATGTTAAGCAACATATTGGTACAGTATAACATATATGTGTGTGTATCCATATATCCCAAATGGAGGAAATACTAGCTAAGACAAAGTTTAAAAAGGACTCTTTATCTTGTCACTTCTCAGAGATAATTAATATACTGGGCCATTGTGAATGTCCAATAAGAAAATTAGAGTATGGTCTTTCCCTAAAGTTATTTAAACAAATTTACTTCACAGAAGACCCTTGGGAAATATACTGTATTTCTCAAGAAAATTTGGAAAATGCTGGTCTAATGCATCAGTGAATCCCAAGATTTATACACCCATCATATCCTTGTATAGAAAACTATGTTAAATACTGAGGAATCACCCAGAAGAGCCCCCAGAAACCACATTTTCTTCTGTAAGTTTTTAGGAGTGGCCATGTTCACATGGTGTTACTCACTAGAAGGCCTACCCTGGGCACTTACTGGCTGTGGAATCTTAACTGCTTTGTGCCTTAGATTCTTCATCTATAAAGGAGATAATAATCAGTACCTACCTCAAAGTACAGTTTAACCAACACAATGAATGGACGCATGGTGGAAAACAATGCCAAATACGCAAGGTAGATGCTCAAATAGAGTCTTAACCTGTGTTATAATCTCTGTTATCCAACAGGGACAATTCAAGCCTGTATCCCACAAGCCAGCAACAAAACAACTCGCCTAAAAGCTTAAGGTCCTTCAGGTTGTACATGGTGATTCAGCTCACTGCTGTGCGTCCATGTACATGCAACTGTATGTAATTGGAAGTGGAGCTCCATCCCTGGTTATTATCCTCATTCAGCCTGACATAAGCAGTCTAGAGAAACCTCAGAAGATTTGATAAAGGCCTGATAAAAAAGATCTTTGACATAAGAAAACTTGATAGCATCTGATGCCTGACAAACCAGTATTACAGAGGAATGGGGTGATGTCTATAGTTTTGATCTGATTGAATTATTTTTATTACCAAGTTCATAACAGTTCATACTTATTTAGTAATTTTTTATTGGTGGATCTCAAACTTTTCTACATCCTGAGAAAATAATGTACTCTAGACTAAAGTTAAAATATACTACTCATGTTTCTCTTTTAAAATTTTGTTATCCACTACCCTCATGATCTCTCCCAAAAGACATTTCATAATGCTGGTTGTTATTGGTTACAACTCTGAACTGTTTCTGATTTTAGTGGCTTCCTCTGTATCATATAGGTTTGATAGTCTAGGTATATAATACATAAATAGAAAATCAAGTTTGCTGGATTTTTTTAAACTTTGGAAGATAATTCTCAAAAAATGATTTAAAACGAAGTTATAAGCTCTTTTTTCACACAATCTATTGAAAGAAAACTTCTACAGAAAACTGACTTTTTAAAGATAAAGAGAACTATAGCTATTTAAAAGCATATCAAAAGGAATAAAATAAGTATCTAATAAGGTTCAAGCCAAATAAGGCCATTTCACCTGAGGCACATCCCTTAATACTTCTGGGCCTGCTATTCTTAATGGTAGACTGCAGAAAATTAACTAGTTCCTAGAAGACATCTTTGGTTCCTTCCAGTTCCATGATCTGGTAAGAATGACATTTTCCCCCATCTTTTTTAACTCTAGTTGTACTTCTGAGCCTTCTGCCTACTAAACCACACTGTCAGGTGGCAGATGAAATAAGTTCAAGAATTTCAACAGAATAACTTTTGAAACAGGAGAATGTCACCTACTCTGAGAAACAGAACTGAGGTCTCTGTCATATTCCCTGTGCCACATCACTTTGTGGGAGAAGGGGAAGGATTTGGTGTGATGATGGATGTTTAATGCATGTGATGCTTCTTGGCAACGAATACATTAGAATAAATTCACTTTCACTCAGTCCATTCACCTAGAATGACCTTGAGAGAATGGAACACAAGACAGATAAGTCTTTATAAGGGAGACATAATAAAAGAGTGGCTTGGTAAAGTCCCTAAGCATGGGATATTGTCAGCACCGGCACAGTGGATGGCTAGAGATGGGAACACTGGGGCCAGGATGCTAGAGGGCAAAACGAATGGTTATTGAATGTGAGCGCTCCAAGGACCTCAGGGAGCATCTGTGCTTCCCAATTGTTTTTTCTATTTCAGATGTCATGATCTACAGCTAATACACACACCCACACACTCTCTCTTGCTTTCTCTCTCACATGTAAAACCTATTGTACATTTAGTACCTGTTGCTTCTTTAAAAAAAGAATAATTGCTAGGTATCAGAAATGCTTGAAAACAAGTAAATGTTTAATCAATTTACTGCCTCCATGAATATTTGAAAAACAATATATGTATCAGAGACAAATAGATGTCATTTTGCTTTAACATGTAAAGATGTGACTGCCCATTCTTTAGATACACCAACATGTGTGGGGATGAAATTCACAGAGACCTGTTAGTCTGTAGTACAAGTCACAGCTGTCTTAAAGGGTGGCCTTTATGTGTGATGAATATTAAAACTTCCTAATACAGCCAGGTTGCCTCTTTCAGGCGTCCTGACCCATTCCCTGCTTACATCGAGAAAAATGATCTTTGATAGCTCCCTATTGTCTGTATAATTTGGCCCAAATTTTATCATGTGGACTAAAACCCCCTTTCTGTCTTCCCACAATGCCTGGGCCACATTCACCTTCCCCCTCCCACCCCAGCACCTGAAGCTTTTGAGTTTCCTCTTTCATACCTTGGGCTTACTTCTCCACCAGAACTCTCCCACCCCCTTCCACCTGAGCGAGTTTCTTCCCCTGTGCCTTTTTGGCTGTGAGGTTGACAACAGTGATAACTGATTTACATTTTCATGCTCCATTGTATTATGCCCGTCCCTGAGGCTGGACCACGTCTGGTTCATTTTTATACCTTACAACCCAAGATGGTGTTTTGAGTCATAATGGGCGCTTGGTAAGTAAGTATCCAGTAAATGAATAATAGAAAATAAGTGGATAAAAGTATACAAAGACCGAGTCTAAACATAGGCCAAAAAATCCTTTCTAGAATTAATAACACAATGACACTTTATTGATAAAACTGAGTCACCCAGTTAAGCATCATTAAAAATAATCTTACGCAGAAAACAAGAACGTTCATCTGTCGAGATGGATTATATTGTTTTGGAATTAGAGAATATGCAGTTTGCTTTTTCCTTTCCGACTGTTTTTTGTTTTTTTAACTGGTGTCTCCAGCTCTGCAGCCCAGTCCATGGAACCTAAATGGCCCAGGTCCCGGGAGTTCCCATTAGAGTCCTGGGCTCCCCCCAGGTCTAGAACGGCTCCCAAGGGTCCAGGCTACCAACGAGTGCAGCTCCAGCCGGCGCCACCTCTGCGGTCTGGAGCGGCGGGGACCGTCCCGAAGTGGGTCCCCCATTGCTTCGGGAGTCGGGTTCTCATGTTTTTCTCTCTCAAAATTTAATGGATAGTTTTCCTTTGCTTCTGTTCTGACTTGATTAAAGAGGAGAAAAAAAGATTGACTACAAGGAGAGTAATAGTGGCAGAAGGCTCATCTGGCTTTACTTTTTAAATTCCATCGAAGTTTGTGTTTTGTTGTTTTCTTCATTTGACAAGGATCCCGTGAACTTCTCCTCCGGGGAAATGGCGCGTCCAAAGCCCGCCAAGCCCAGCCTGCAAACTTTAGGATTTATTAGAGTAATATTTTAGACTAAACCTCGACAGACACAAACTCAAAGGAAACCGTGCACTTCTTAAGTCAAAGGCATCTGTTCTCATAGCAGCGCTCGGTTTGCTGTTTGCAGCCAGCTCTAGGAGCTGGATTTTTAAACAGGAAAATGGATAAAAGGAAAGAAAAGCCAAGTCCCGCGGTCCTCCGACTCCTATTCATTATCTCCAGCAGCATATGGGACCATTCTCCTACTTATCCTCGCCCTTTCTTCCGCCAAAGCAAAAGCAACCAAGCCTGTCCCGCTTCATAGCAAACCTACTCTTTGTGCCTGAGCAGTGCCACTACCACCACTTCCTCCTCCTCCCGCCTCCTCCTCCTCCAGTTCGCCGCCAGCTTTGGCTCTGGCTGGGAGGCGGCCGGCTCCCTTTGCGCCGGGAAGCCGGTGCCGCGATTGGGCGACGGTCCCTGAGCCTCTAGTTCTGCGTCGGTTTCAAGGCTCCTCCCTCCCGGTGAAAGACAGACTGCGGGGCGCCTGGAAACCGGTCTGAGGGCGCGCGAGGGAGAGGAGAGGGAGCGAGTTGAGGGATTGACACAAATGGTCAGGCGGCGGCGGAGGAGGAGGCGGAGGCGCAGAGGGGACCCGAGGCCGCTGGGCTGCGGTGAGTTGCGCGCTCTACGGGGCCGCGGCCACTAGCGCGGCGCTGCCAGCCGGGAGCCAGCGAGCCGAGGAACAGGAAGGCGGGACACGACTCCAGCGAACCCGAGCCACCAGGGCTGTCCCTGCCGCCTGCGCTTCATGAATCGCAAGTTTCCGCGGCGGCGGCGGCTGCGGGACTCAGAGCAGGAGCCGGGGCAGCGGGCCGAGCACAGCTCGGCCTCGACGGAGGGCACCGGCACAGAGATCTCCCTGGCCGCAGGGGAAGCCGCCGCCGGTACTGCCACTACCAGCCCCAGCGGAGCGCCGCCAAGAAAGGAGCCGAGAAAGTATGGCTGAGGAGGAGGTGCCTAAGAAGTCCCGGGCCGCCGCCGCTGGCGCAAGCTGGGAACTTTGTGCCGGGGCGCTCCCAGCCGGGCTGGCGGAGGAGGGGAGCGGGGACGCAGGCAGCCGCCGCCGCCCCCCAGCTGACCCCCGGCGCTTGGCGCGCCAGCTGTTTCTGTTGCTTTGGCTGCTGGAGGCTCCGTTGCTGCTGGGGGTCCGTGCGCAGGCTGCGGGCCAGGGGCCAGGCCAGGGGCCCGGGCCGGGGCAGCAACCACCGGCACCACCACCACCCCCACAGCAGCAGCAGAGCGGGCAGCAGTACAACGGCGAGCGGGGCATCTCCATCCCCGACCATGGCTATTGCCAACCCATCTCCATCCCGCTGTGCACAGACATTGCGTACAACCAGACCATCATGCCCAACCTGCTGGGCCACACGAACCAGGAGGACGCGGGCCTGGAGGTTCACCAGTTCTACCCGCTGGTGAAAGTGCAGTGTTCCGCGGAGCTCAAGTTCTTCCTGTGCTCTATGTACGCGCCGGTGTGCACAGTGCTGGAGCAGGCGCTGCCGCCCTGCCGCTCCCTGTGCGAGCGCGCGCGCCAGGGCTGCGAGGCGCTCATGAACAAGTTCGGCTTCCAGTGGCCAGATACGCTCAAGTGCGAGAAGTTCCCGGTGCACGGCGCCGGCGAGCTGTGCGTGGGGCAGAATACGTCCGACAAGGGCACCCCGACGCCCTCGCTGCTACCGGAGTTTTGGACCAGCAACCCCCAGCACGGCGGCGGAGGGCACCGCAGCGGCTTCGCGGGGGCCTCGGAGCGAGGCAAGTTCTCCTGTCCGCGCGCCCTCAAGGTGCCCTCCTATCTCAACTACCACTTCCTGGGGGAGAAGGACTGCGGCGCGCCTTGTGAGCCGACCAAGGTGTATGGGCTCATGTACTTCGGGCCCGAGGAGCTGCGCTTCTCGCGCACCTGGATCGGCATCTGGTCCGTGCTGTGCTGCGCCTCCACGCTCTTCACGGTGCTCACGTACCTGGTGGACATGCGGCGCTTCAGCTATCCAGAGCGGCCCATCATCTTCCTCTCCGGCTGTTACACGGCCGTGGCCGTGGCCTACATCGCCGGCTTCCTGCTGGAGGACCGGGTCGTGTGTAATGACAAGTTCGCTGAGGACGGGGCGCGCACTGTGGCGCAGGGCACCAAGAAGGAGGGCTGCACCATCCTTTTCATGATGCTGTACTTCTTTAGCATGGCCAGCTCCATCTGGTGGGTGATACTGTCTCTCACCTGGTTCCTGGCGGCCGGCATGAAGTGGGGCCACGAGGCCATCGAGGCCAACTCGCAGTATTTTCACCTGGCCGCCTGGGCTGTCCCGGCCATCAAGACCATCACCATCCTGGCGCTGGGCCAGGTGGATGGCGATGTACTGAGCGGAGTGTGCTTCGTGGGGCTTAACAACGTGGATGCACTGCGTGGCTTCGTGCTGGCCCCGCTCTTCGTGTACCTGTTCATCGGCACCTCCTTCCTGCTGGCCGGCTTCGTGTCGCTCTTCCGCATCCGCACCATCATGAAGCACGACGGCACCAAGACGGAGAAGCTGGAGAAGCTGATGGTGCGCATCGGCGTCTTCAGTGTGCTCTACACGGTGCCCGCCACCATCGTCATCGCCTGCTATTTCTACGAGCAGGCCTTTCGGGACCAGTGGGAGCGCAGCTGGGTGGCCCAGAGCTGCAAGAGCTATGCCATTCCCTGCCCTCACCTGCAGGCGGGCGGAGGCGCCCCGCCGCACCCGCCCATGAGCCCAGACTTCACCGTCTTCATGATCAAGTACCTCATGACGCTGATCGTGGGTATCACGTCGGGCTTCTGGATCTGGTCTGGCAAGACGCTCAACTCTTGGAGGAAGTTCTACACGCGGCTCACCAATAGCAAACAGGGGGAGACCACTGTCTGACGTCGGGGGCGCAGCTCATTCCCAGCCCTGGCCAGACAGCCAGCCCGGTGGCGTCCAGGCCAAGCCCGGCTGCTCCGGCTTGCTCACTAGACACACTTTCGCAGGCTCCTAAGCACACAACAGCTCCTGCGAAAGCTTCCGTCCCTATGGCAGAGTAGTGCCCGACCGCCAGAGGGGGGATGGACCGACCTCTTGCCCTCACACTCTGGTACTAGGATTGTGTGCTTTTATGATTGTAAATACCCCGTGTAAGATTTTTGTAAGTATATTTGTATTTAAATGATCAATCACATGTTTTTCTTTATTTTTTTTAATTATTTAGGGTGTTTTAACCATTTCAGGATTTTTCTTCTTGCCCTTTTCGGAGCACTGCAGGGGAGATGAACGCATTGGCAGAGTGCGTTCGATCGTCCTCCCTCCTCTCCCCTCCGCGGTGCTCGGGCCTGCCAGGGAGTCCGCTCCGGGCGAGTTCGGCGCTGCGGGCGCGCCGGGGGCGGGGGCCTGCGCCGAGTCACCGCCCGCCTTCTCCACTGCCGCCGCCTTTCCTTTCCTTGCTTCGGGTAGGGGCTTGTGAGATAGAGAAGAAGCTGCACCAGGCTTCCAAATCCGGAGGTGGGCCCCTGCCCATTCCAGTTCCTCCAGTGTTCAGCGGCAGATTGGAAAGGCCTGTCCCTTTGACTCCCTGAAGCTGAATTTTAACTGTCCAGAACCTTTCCCCAAATTCCTGGGGTCCCATGGGTGTGGGCGCTGGCAGTTGCAGCCTCCCTTCGAGCTCACATCTAACGTCCAGGCACTCCCTCCCTCCTTCCCCTCAAGTGGTTAGAGGGTGAGTGGAATAACCATTGCCAAACTTTTTAAACTCTGATTTTTGGTGAATGAGCTCATTTCATTCTCTAGTGTCTAAAACCTGGTATGGGTTTGGCCAGCCAGCGTCATGGAAAGATGTGGTTAAGGAGATTTGGGAAGAGGCACGAAGCTTTGTGTGGGTTAGAAGAGAGAGAAGGTAGGGGTTATAAAACGTTAATTCTAATTGCATACTGATGCCTGGCACCCTGCCTTGAGGAATGAGACAGCCCGCACTCAGATTTTACCCTTCTGTAAAATGGAAACGTTGAGGTCACCTGGAAAGTTTTGTTAAGGCAATGATCTTTGCTTTCGTTAACAGGACAGTAGTAACAAAAATTGAAAAAGGAGATTTCAGTGTACTGGACTTCCTCAAAATGAAGTTTTATTTTCTTACTTTTAATCAAATAATAATCAAACATATATCAGAAGCTTTAAAAATGTAGAAGTTGTACACTTTGAACAGTTTGATTGTTATTCAGCAAAACATTCTGAGGAACAATCCACCCTACTAATAATAACCCGGTAAGATTTCAGGAGGTAAAAGCGGGGGGAAATGGATGGGGTTAACTCCTGAAATAAATCAAATCTGAGCATGCATGCTAAAGGGAGACTGCTGCGGTCTACTGCTTTCAATCCTGTGTGCTCCTTTTTTGGGTTTACAGAAATATGTCAAATGTACATCTTTCAAAGCCATTTTAGTTCTCTGTGAAGGAGATGAGCAGTCCTCCTGATTGTATTGTTTTGAACTTTGAGAGTTTATCAAAATGCCGGTAGTTAGGACCTAAATTTATCTATGTCCGTCATACCCGAAAATGACATCGGTCTTTGAATTTGGTATGCATTTATTCTGTTCACGATCACAAAATCATCTATATTTATAGAGGAATAGAAGTTTATATATATATATAAAATACCATATTTTTAATTTCGCAAATAAAAAAAAATCAAAGTTTTGTACAAAATTATGTGGTTTTTGTGCCTGAAAGTAATAGAACTTGAACTGTCTGCACTGTCTTTACATTTTGTAGTGTCTCATAGCTAGTCCCAAAGTATAAACATTTAGGAATTTAGTGAAAAAGTCTATCCTTAGACCTTCAGACCAGTCCTTCCAGAGAATTACTCTATTTGCATTGTTGTGATTGGCATTTATGAAGTCCCAAGAAAAGATCTATTTTCCTGACCGTAGAAAATATAAGCTTGCAAATTATTTCTTTACTCAGAGAGGATTATTACAAAAAGAACTCTAATTTTAATATTAAAGCTTTCTTTTTCTTCCAAGGAGTAAATTTACATGGCCTTTTATAATACAGAGGTTTATTTTTAAGCCATCACCTTTTGTCAAAATTTTTGTGAGCTGTTGTCTTATTCCATAATCTTGGATATTACAAAACCATAAATAGACAATAAATGGGTAACTGTTTAATAAGCATTTTAAACAGCAATTTGGTTTATAAGGGTGTTTTGTTTTTTGCTTCTGAATACCCATTTTTTATCATTCAAGGGACTTTCTCCAGAGACATCACCTAGCTGGTTTGCTCTGAGTTAGGATTTTTATGAGTGTGTACATATGTGCATGTGTTTATTTAGAAAATTATACACATTAATTTTTATAGGGATACAAAGTTTACTTGTACATTTCATAATATGGGAGTATGGTTATAAGAAATGGAAAATGCTAGATGGAAAGCCTCAGATACCTTTGTAGGTTAAAAATATCATTACTAAATTTTTCCATGAAAACGTTTTGTGATAAAATGACAAGTAAAATGAAGATCATTGATACATAGAGTTACTTTCATGATTACAAAGCAATTGTCTTATAAATCATTGGTATTCATTTTATGGCAGAGGAAAAAAATTAAATCTTATTGAAAATCTAGCATTTGATTTTAAGTAGCAAGATGCAATTTTATGTTCCTTTATTCTTTATTACATTAATATAGAAGATATCTGTAAAGGTTTTATTGTGTAGACACACACAAAAAGTAGTAAATGTTGGACCAAATTAAAATATATCTTCTTACTAGGTGGTTGAATTAGATAATTCCCAGGGAAAGCCTTTTTTTTATATTATTAGTCTCTATCCAAGGAATAAATTTTAAAGCAGTCATATTGTGAGCATCCTTAAGATGATGTGACTATAAATTTGATGCAGAATGGTTTTATTTGCTGGATTTAAATAGTTTGAAAAGACATTTTTAAGTTACCACTAGGCTTTGTTTTTACAAAATAATTTGTTTTAAATTATGCAGCATGTTGAAAACCGGTTTATTCTTTTGTTTCTTTTGATATTACTGGTAAAACAGGACTTCCCTAGAAAACCATAAAGCTACTGGGGGTATTGTCCTATTAGTATACTGTTTCCATGGCAAACTGTATTTTCAGATGATTTATTCTTGCCTATTTTTTTTTTAACCCACAATCAATTAGAGTCAATTTTAGAGTAAATATATAACTAGTATGAAAGCCTTCCAAAGCTGTTTAAAAAACACAAACACACGAAACAATTTTTCACTTAAACTTTGTGGGGACAGAGAGTCATATTTTTCATTTCAGATCCAGCCAATGTCAAACACATGTAAAAGAGCTGGCCCAGATCGTACAGCTTGTCCTGTGGTGGTCACTCATCAGCCTGAGTTTGCTTTCCTGTTCCTTTTGTCTCCACTGTAAGTACTGACGCCTTCTACCGTAGATGCCTCATTCCTAAAGTCCAGCATTTAACTTGGAAAGGAAACCACAGTGAAGTGTTGGTGTCCAATTAAGAAAAAAATTGACCAAATCACAGACCATTTCAGGACTTGGCTTCAGATGGCTTTCCCTGATAACATGTTTCAATCTTGGTATACATTTTTTTTAAGGTATCCTATTTAACTGTGTGTGTGTGTGTGTATGTGTTTTCAGCTACTGTTGTTTCTATTGCTTTCTAATTCATCTATTGGCTATAGGCTATATTTTATATAATGCACATGCAATTTATTAATACCCGTGTGCGACATTGGATATCCCTGATACATTTCTGATTATAGTATATAATATTCTATGGAACTAAGAAGCCTAAGAGATTAGAAACAAAATATAGTCATTGCATTTGTCTATTGGTGGACCCTAATGATACTGTCACTGAATACAGAATACACTCATACATAGTATCAAAGTCTTGAGAGATTAACTTATAGGAGCCAAAACAAGACATAGACTATATATTAGAATTCTCTAGCTACATGACTATAAAGGAATTTCAATACTACCTTCCACTAAAGACTATATTTTAGTCTTTGAAATGGGATCTTACAAGGGAACTGCTAAACAAGGTAAAGTTTATTTTGATGACTCCCAAGATGCATATCTCTATATTTTGAACTATTTGCAGATGCCAATATCCTTCAAAATTTGAGAAACAGTATTTCAACTCAAAGAGTTTCAATCATGACTGAGAATTCCCTTATGATTTTGAGCTTAAGTATTTTTATTCGCTTTGGTCATACATTTGACGATGGATATGTTAAACTGTAACACTTAATAGTGACAAAACGCCTTGCTTAGAAACTGGCCATTAAAACACAATCTCTAGACTCATTTTTCTAAGTTTTATCATGATCTGTGGTGACAAGTGTCTCAAGTACATTAAGGAATCAAGTTACTATTCAAATATACCACTTGCTTTGGGGATTTTTATTTATAGGTTGGTTTGGGACCCTAATAACAGTTCAGACAAATCAGAGAAACCTCTCTCATGTGATATAGTGGGTAGGCACAAGTACAATTTATAAGTCTATCTTACAATGATCAAGTAATAAATATTTTGTGCATCATAACCAGTTTTATGAGTCAAGCAGATTCTTAACTAAACTGCTTGAAGGAAGAAGATACTATTTTCCGAAGGAGATATTTCTTTAAATAAATCTTTTTATTTTAAGATGTTAGTATCCTAAGAGGTATATTTTGGAATGATAAATTTCAAATAACACTGCATTTTCTTATAGAATTATTAATACACAAGTTGAGTGGCATAATTGTATAACTAATGCTTCTAAAGGCAAAGAATCAGAGCAGCATTGATTTGTACATTTTACACACCTTAGGAGATGTAAGCAACTTACTCAAAAGCAATTTTTAAGTTTTAAAATTTATAATATGCATATTTTATATAAATATCTCAAGAAATTTCATTCATGCTATAGCGTTTCAAAACACCTTCATAACAATACAGTGATTAACATGAAAAGGAGCCACTCTCACCGCTTTGATGTACTTCTCTATGGCCTGGACTACTTTCCTTGCCTTTTTGAAACCGCCTTTTTGAAAAAGAAGTATCCTCTAATTTGTGGATATCTCCATATTTTAGATCTCAATACCTGTTTGAATTAAATTTGCAGGGGAATAACTGCAGGATCCCCCCACAGACAAAGTGTGGCCTTTATTTCCTTTCAAGTTGGCAGCATGTCCTTGCTTAAATGAAGCACTCTGAGACACACTGTTCCCTTGCCCTTGGAAATGCTTGTCTTCACAACTGCAGCAGCAAATACCTGGAAGTCAGACAGGCTAGTTAGATGCTTAGTCCACATCCCATGTGCTGCTTGATCATTCCATCTGTTCTTTCTTGACAAGTAGATTTAGGTAGTATTCTTCATTTTGTATTTCTGACTCTTTGAAAATATTTTTAAAAGTTAACAAATGCTGCAACAAATGCTCTGTCAAAAACTCAAAACTCATTGGATAAATTGACCAACGGTCCAGGTTTGCCAAGGACTGAGATGTTTGGGGGGGGATATGAGACTTTCATTGGTAAAACCAGAGAAGTTGTGAACACACTGGGTGGCTGGTAAGCCTATTCTGTGGATTAAATTGTGACTCCACAAAATAGAGTAAAAGTTTAAATGTTGGTCACTGGTCCAGCATTGAAAGAACTCCTCTGTGGCCATAGCATTTTTTTCTAACTACCAAATGAAAAGCCAGTGAATACAGCCCTTTGTAACTGGTCTTTACAGTGAGTACCAATCAACAGAAACTGAATGAAACATGAAGATGTAATGGAACAAACCACATTGACTATCTTGGCCATTCTGCCCTTAGCCTTTGCTTCCTGAAGGAATTGGGCACAGATACGGAATCTAACCAGTCACTGAACCCTCATGAATTAGGTTAAATAGCTATTTTTAGAAAAGACTCTCAAAAGTATTCTCTCTTTTTTTTTAATGGATGTTAAAATTTGTCAGATTGTAAGTAACAATTAGGTTTTTGCACATTTATATTTATTTTCCTGTACAATAATGCAGTCCCTTGGAGTGAGATTACAAACTCAAGCAGAAATTGCCCCCAAATGGCTTTACATGAACCTGATTTAATTGTCATACTTTTTCCTCAGAGGTAAGTAGTTTTAGCACCCACACTTTTCCCAAAATGAAAAGTTGTATATACAAGAAGAAAAAAGAAGTAAATTAAATCTTAAAATTATGCTGTGATTTTTGAGATATCAAGGTAGGAAGATTGCTTGAGGCCAAAGAATTTGAGCCCAGCCTGAGCAAGAGCAAGACACTGTCTCTACAAAAAATAGAAAAATTAGCCTGGAGGGAGGTATGGTTCTGCATTCCCAGCTACTCAGAAGGCTGAGGCAGGATGATGGCTTGAGCCCAGGAGATTGAGGTTGTAGTGAGCTATGCTGATATGATTGCACTCTATCAAGGGTGACAGAGACCCTGTCTTGGGGAAAAAATTTTTCTTCTAAATTAAAAATTATACTGTGATTATTGAAAATTGTAGAAAGTACTGTGTGGACCATGCAATCTAAGACCTTTACATTTCTATATGAAACTCTTTAATCAGAATTAGTCTCTCTCTTTTTTGAGTACAACATTATATGCATTCTCATAATGCATATAAAATTGCACTGCCTTGATTGTTGAAATCACAACATTATCCATGCTATGTCTTTTTTGAGACAGAGTGCCCGGGCTAGAG